AAAAAAAACTCGTTCTATCAAACCAAACTTAGCTTAAGGTGGTTACTTTGATGGGTTCAGAAGAGATTAGTTGTATAAATTTTATTTTGTTGTCTTTGTATAAGTGTTAATTTTTAGTAAATTGAGGGGTTTGTCCTTGTGGGAGAGAGCTAAAATTGAGGGGTTTGACTATGAAATTTCTATGAATGCCATGATTTCATATGTTTAAGGAACACAATCTGATTCAACGCACGAGAGCCTTCAGTTTTACTCTATTGAAACTGAAATTCCTGGTAAATTCAGTAAAAATTACAGGGAAAATCTTCTCGTGCCGTGATTTTATTTCTGTGTCTTTGTAGAAGCCTGTGGAGCAGTCTGTTCTTTGCTGCTCTTATTTTTTCTTGTTCGGCATTTATGTGCATTATTACCAACACTTGTCTGGTTCAATTTTCAAACCGTGCCTGGTTTTTTAAACTTTTAGGAATATACGGTGCAATGGCTTTGGCGGGAAGGTTTATATGCTCGATTTCTGGAATCGATTGCAATGGAGGGTTTCATCCATCGTTAGATGCTGTCGTTGAAGGATTGGGATATGCAGCTCCTCCAATTATGGCCCTTCTCTTTATACTAGACGTATGGATAGTATTTTTTTTGGCTCTGTTAAATTTTATTTACTAGTTTATATTGCATAAAGGCATGATTTTGATAACCTGTGATATAGGATGAAGTTGTAAAGATATCTCCTTATGCTCGTGCAATTAGGGACGTCGAGGATGAGGAGCTACGGAGCTTTTTCTACGGAATGTCGCCATGGCAGGTACAAAATTTTGGCTAGAAAATCTCTTTCATTATTTCAGTTTATTATTTTCAAGCACTTATTATTATTTCACTTATTATTATCGCTTTAAGGCGCGACAGCCATATTCTGTTCAACAAATGTGCATTCCTTCGAATTGAAATATATAAATAGAAGTATGACATTTTATAGCATAAGTACACAATCATATTCAGTTTTTGTTGTTACAGTATTGTTCACTTCACTTTTTATTATTGCAGTTTATGCTAATTGTTGTGGCAAGCTCTGTTGGAGAGGAGCTCTTTTACCGAGCTGCTGTTCAGGTTCGTATAAGTCTTTACACACATTTACAGGGATAATCTTTCTTAAATTGGTATATGTATGTTTTCCAAATGTTCTTAACATTGTACAATGATTATTCCTAATTTGATTCGAATACTCAGTTTCTATTTTTCATATTTTATTCATCTCTTTAGGGAGCTGTAGCAGAAGTATTTCTCAAGAGCGGTGATCTGTTTGATGATGCTCGAGGAATGGTCTCACTGGTAGAAAATAATTAGCTTAACTCCCAATCTTCACAATAACTTTTCTTACAAACAATAAAAAAAAAAAAATAAAATAAAAAGACAATAATAACGAAAAATAGCTAACCGAACATTTTTCTTGATGCAGGCCGGTGTACTACCTCCATTTGTCCCATTTGCACAGGCATTTGCTGCTGCTATCACGGCTGCTTTTACCGGCACGTTGTATTACCTGGCTGCCTCTCCCAAAGGTCCGTTTCTACACTTTTTTTTTTTGTTGAAAAAACTTCTCCCAATTTTGCGCTCGTCAATGAATAAACCATCTCAAATAAAATCCGATTTCCACTCTCTTTTCAGACCCAACCTATGTTGTTGCACCCGTGCTCAAGTCGCGCTCCAGTCGTGATGATCTAAGAAAGCTCTTTGCAGGTTAAATCTTTCACTCAAAACAAGTTCAATTGCGTAATCTTTCCATCATTATTTCGGAATAATCGCTTTAGTTTTGTTGGTTCAACGCCATAGCAATTTTAATCTCTTCTAATATTTCTCTTTTTAGTCCTATGCTTTAATACTGCTGCAATTTCAGTTTTTTGAGGTCTGAAATTGCAACAAATTCCCATATTTTCGATTAGCAGTTTATGACATATAATTTTAAATTTTGTTGCAATTCCAATTTCAGTCCTTAAATTTAAAATTGTGCTGCAGTTTCAGTTTAGGGACTGAAATTGCAGCAAAATATTAAATCACGTGACTAAAAAGCGAAAAGTTGGAATCTTTAGACCAAAATTTTTATGACAGTAAACCAACATGACTAAAAATGCATTTCTGCTCATTATTCCTAACTAACAGACAAACCTTTTTGATGTAGCGAAAGCGTGAACGAACGGGAAGATAAAATAAAAGGAGATACTCTCTCCAGAACACGGGATACTCTCCCAAAAACACGATCAATTTTAATTCTCAAACTCCACCCCCCAATAACAAATCATAACTCCCTTTAAATAAAGCCCTAACCCTAAACTTAGCTTATTCCCTAAGCAACTACTAATTATTAAATTAATAATAATAATAATAATAATAATAATAATAATAATAATAATAATAATAATAATAATAATAATAATAATAAATACTTATATTTATTCTGCATCACTTTTGCAGCCTGGTATGAGAGGAGACAGATGAAAAAAATCTACTCTCCTTTGTTGGAGGCACTTTTGGCGCTTTACCTTGGATTTGAATGGATTCAGGTAAATTTTGAGTATGTTTACGAATTACGAGTACTTTTTTACCTTTCTTTTTAACATGTCAGCTGGCGGCTGGTCGTGATTTGAATGGTTTGCTTGTGTATGTTGAACAGACGAACAATATCCTTGCGCCTATTATAACGCACGGAATATACTCTGCCGTTATCTATGGACATGGCCTTTGGAAGATACATGATCATCAGAGGAGGCTGCGCGAACGAGTTCATAAGCTTAAAGTCGAGGCCAAAGCTTCAAGAAAATCGTGAGATGTACTCGGATTGGAGGATTTTGTATTAAACCAGATTAGAAACCTTTTTTTTTTCTTTTTTTTTTCTGGCTATGCTGTAAAAATTTCAATGTTGTCATACAAATGTATCAAACAAAGTAAACTAGCCAAATATATAGAGATATAACATGTATAGAGATGAACTTGTATATATATATATGTTTACTTTCAGTTGAGAAGAGAAGGATTGCGGTTCTTCTACCCCTAGTGCGTCAACTATAAACAAATAATTGGTTAGTGAATGCAGAAAAAAGATGATATCTGTAAGATTAGAGAATCGGGGCAAGAAGGTTCTACGCATATTGAGCGCACTATAAAAGGGTGAACTTAGATGCACCATATTGAGGTTCCATCTCAAAACCAATTGGTGATGGGAGGAGTAGCCCACTTGACTTATATACTAGACTCATTTTCTCTATAGAATCAATGTGGGACAACTCACAAGTGATACTCCAACACGCCCCCTCACTTGTGAGTCCTTCATAAGCCCAAGCCCAGAGCAGGCCGGGTAGAGATAGAGCCCTGACCGGAGTTGGCCGGGTAGAGATAGAAACCCAAACAGGAGTCGGCCTGGCTCTGATACCATGTAAGATTAGAGAATCGGGGCAAGAGGGTGCGGTCCCACGCATATTAAGCACACCATAAGAGAGTGAACCTAGGTGCACCATAGTGAGGTTCCATCCCAAAACCAATTGGTGATGGGAGGAGTAGTTCACTTGGCTTATATACTAGACTCATTTCCCTTATAGAATCAATGTGAGACAACACACAAGTGATACTCCAACAATATCCGTTCGGCTTCAGATTCAATTGCTTAAAGGCACACTTTCTTTTCTGTTCCTGGTAGCTTTTGCAGTTTTGCCTTATCACATAATAGCAATAATTTGCATGCAAATTACTCTCATCGAGCTTTTCACCATTGGATCACACATACGGGTGTGTTTTGCACCAGTATCAGAAGATGAGCTCTAATAGAGTAATTGTCATTTTTGCTATTACACGAGAATCCTATAAACTGAATTGTATTTTTCAGCTTACAAATGGACCAAAATTATAAAATTACAATAGAACTAAAAATAAATTATAACTTGAAAAACGGAAAAATTACAATTGAAGCGAGTAAACTCTTTCCGCAAGACGAATACGCCTGGTGTATTGCTAACGGTTCAGACGTATCATCCCCAAAGATACAATGACGATTGTCTCGAAATCTGTAGCACACCAGACTTACGAACTCCAACGAACTGGATTTATTATGGTTAGTTTTTGAACTCAGATTGGATGTGCTTTTGAACTCAGATACAATGGTTGTTCGTTTTTGTTTGTCATCTATTTTGGTTGTTGACTGGGTGTCATGTTGGGAATATTGTTGGAATGGAAGAATTATGGCTATTACATGTCGTGCAATTTCTGTTTTGAGTTATGGAGGTACCTTCTTTGTTTTTGATATTGTTATGTGTGTTTTCTTATTTCTATTTATGTTTTGGAATGAAAGTATTGTTGATGAGTATATATACACCAGTGTTTTAAAACGCGCATCGCGCAATGCATCGCGTTTTGGTCCTTATATTGTGTAGCGTAAATAACGTAGTGCATTGCGTAAGCTATTCGAGCAATTTACTTTTAATGACAAAAATAATAATATATAACTATACAAACGAATAAATAATTAAAATGGTCTTAAACCATAAATTAACTTGGACATTGAATCCAAAAAATGAAATTCAAAATATTAATTCTTCAAACAACCAAAGTTTAATGTTTGAAGTAAAGACTCAAAATCTTAAAATGATCGATGTTATCCAATTGAATTTAGCTATCATCGTCAATTCTATCAAAGTTATGGAGAGTTTCACTACCAGAAATAACTGGTACAATTTCACCAAATTCTTGCATCTCCTCATCATTACTTTTGAACATAAGAAACATAAACATCACATTATTCTAATAGTCCAAAAGGTCAATCATAGCTATGTTGATATCAATTTTTCAAATAGATTTTTTTAAGAGACATACGAAACGTGATCTAATAATCGCTCAAATTCGCCATGGGAGAAATTACTCAATTTTGTGCCCTAAGTTTTTATTTTTTTTTTTGAATTCTATTATTTTATTTTTTATTTTTTGCCTATAAATAAGAATTGCTCAAATAGCGTAAGAAATAGCACAACGTTTTTCTGGAACTGCGCGAAATTATATACGCCATGTGGCATTTTTGGGTAAAAATGCGCTATAGCGCGCTTCGTAGCGCGCGAATTGCGCTATTTAAAACACTGCAATATAGTACAAAATATTCTCTAAGTTGCAAATCTCAAATTCGCGCATAGTACATGTTGTTAAAAAATTATTTACCCATAGTTTAATACTAGTAGTTATTAAAAGACAATATATTAAATGTGTGTGTATATATATATATATATATAATTTTTAAATTTTTAAACATCTCATTTTAGCTCATGATTAATGTGTAAATAATTTAATACTAGTAGTAGATATTAGGCTTTTAAATTAAAAGACAATATATTAAATTGTTGTAAAGAAAAGAAAAAAATACTAGTAATAATAGAATTTCTTTTTCCCCACGAAGCATCTCTGCAGCCTTAACAAACAACAAAACAGTAGTGATGAAAACCCAGAGACTCTTGATTGCTTTTGTTCTCCGCCTCAGCTAAAACCTCTAAAACCCCTCATCGAAATTCGCCGTTTTTTTTTCAAGCCACAGAGCAAATGAATGAAAAAAGTTCAGAACCCAACAACAAAGAGCTCTACGCTCTGCTTCACATATCGCCGGAAGCATCTGATGAAGAGATTAGGAAGGCTTATCGTCAGTGGGCTCAAGTCTATCATCCTGATAAATACCAGTCGCCGCACGTACAAATTATTAATCCCTTTTTTTTGCTATTTTCTGACACTGTTTTGTCTCAACACTCCACCCCCTTTTCATTCTTGAATGATTCTGTTGTGAAGAACTAATGTTGTTTGTCACAAGTGTTTGCTTCTATTGTGGGTAGCTTTTTTTTTCCTCATATTTTATCATTTGGCTCTCAGCTTGTCAATCTCTTGATGTGAACAGTCTATGTTTTTATTTGATAATCTTGATTGTCTCTTATTCTATGCAATGATTCTGTTGTGAAGAACTAGTGTTGTTTGTCAGAAGTGTTTGCTTCTATTGTGGGTAGCTTTTTTTTTTTTCTCATATTTTATCATTTGGCTCTCAGCTTGTCAATCTCTTGATGTGAACAGTCTATGTTTTTATTTGGTAATCTTGATTGTCTTTTATTCTATGCAATGATTCTGTTGTGAAGAACTAGTGTTGTTTGTCAGAAGTGTTTGCTTCTATTGTGGGTCGCTTTTTTTTTCCTCGTATTTTATCATTTGGCTCTCAGCTTGTCAATCTCTTGCTGTGAATAGTCTATGTTTTTATTTGATAATCTTGATTGTCTCTTATTCTATGCTTTCTCTATTGCTTTTCAATTTTGTTGGATGTGGGTTGAGGATTAGATTTAGTATCATGTATCTTTTATACCCGAGTTGCATTTCATGAGTCTGATAGGTGGATGGCCTTGATGGGTTATATACTGAAAGTCATTTGTTTATCCCTCACTCATTTATGTGGTTGCATCGATAGTGTAGATACTAGATTTCCCACTTCACTTAAAAAATTTAACGTTTTGCAAATTTCTATTTCAAATTCATTTTTATTTTAGGATTAGAAAAGCTGTTAAAGTCGTCGTTATACTATATGAGTTGTTTAATGCGTCGTCTTGTTTCCCTTGGTTCAGATGAAAGAAATTGCGACAGAGAACTTTCAACGAGTATGTGAAGCTTATGAGATTTTGACAGATGAAAACAAAAGGGTGATATATGATATCTACGGTATGGAGGGACTAACTTCTGGTCTAGAGCTTGGACCTAAACTGGACAAAGTTGAAGAGATCAAGGAAGAACTTGAGAGAATGAGGCGTCAGAGGGAGCATGATAAGGTCTTGGCACATATCCGACCTTCTGGTTCAATTTTGGCAAATTTGTCGTGGCCTAATTTTTTAGATGGTGATGGCCTTATGAAAGGGTACGAGCCTTTCTTCAGTTAAATTTTATTTATTTATTTATTTTTTATGTATGTCATTCTGATTTAACAAGATGTCATGTGGTGTATCCTGTTCATGAAGTGTCAAATATCAGATGACAAAGGCACTTCATGAGTCTTCACATGAAGACTATCTTCATGTAAATGCTTATGCTTTGTTCACGGCTGATGAAATCAGTCTAGATATTGGGCATATCTGTGAGAGTGGTAGATTTTTTCTCACCGAGTGCTTAATCTGCTACATATCATACGTGCCAGTCAGCTCTCTTCTGGTTTCTGAAAATTTGTAGTCTTATCATTGCCTATTTTTGTATCCCAAATATTTTTGTAATTCCAGCATTTCATGTCCATTAATTTAATGTAATTTTAATAGTAAGCATGATGTTATCAATCTCATTGTGGATCTTATCCAATAGGAAAGTGGCTTTTACACTTACAGTCTTCTCTTTATGATTTCACCTTTCTAATATATTGGTGCTAAAATGTCAGGATGGCCATGGCCAGTCAAGTTCAATCTCAAATATCAAAGCGCACTTCTCTTGCTATTGGTGGGAATTTGGCCGTTAATTCAGATTCTGGTGTGGGTGCAGCAACCGTTGTCCTTGGGCATCAAATATCTCCAGTTTCTTCTGCAGAGTTCATGGGTTCCATTGGTTTGCAGTCATTAATAGGATTACAAACCACTCGGTAGGATCTTGATCTTTTTGCTTTTTTTTTT